CTGGAATCAGGGCTCTTTGTCCCCGAAACACATACTCTTCTCCCCTTGGCCTGAGACTTTCATGCCAGTTACCTACTTTGCTTGTTTCTTGGCTTCTATCACCTTTCCGCTCAAATGTCACTTATATGTGAAGCGTTCCCTGACCATTGTCATATATAGAGAATAATGACTCTCAGCCTCTCACAGCCATCACCCAGGGCCCTTCCTACCCCCATATCTTGCTTTATTTTCTCTACTTCACTTATCACCGTCTAACATGCTATATATCTGCTCATTTATTTACTTATTTCCTGTCTCCCTTACTAGGATATAAGCTCTATAAAAACAGGAACCTCGTTTTGTTTCCTGCTGTATCTCTAGCACCAAGAACAGAATCTGGCAAGAAATGAGAGCGTAACATTTACTGAAGACACTGTTTAGAAGAATGTAATTTGAAAGGCGGAAAGTGTAGGGTACTAGAGTAAAACCAAACTGCCCGCGTGAGGACCTCACTGACCTTTTCCCTGTAGTGCTTGCTGTAAGTCTTCTTCCAGAGGTCCCAGTGGCGATCCAGCGTGGGGTCCCTCTGCAGCTGCGCCACCGCTGCGGAGCACCCCAGGAGCACGCAAGCCAGCCATTTCATTCTGTTAAAAGAAAGGCCACACAGGAAGAGTAGCTATTAGCTGCATATCTGTGACTGTATTTTTTTACAACTCAAAGTCTATCAAAGGGACAGGATATTACAAGTCAGAATATACAGGAAATTTTGGGGATATATACAGGGAGTAACTGCAGACTTATGTCTGAAATATCACTGCTAATGCTTAGGAACTCTTTAAAGCATGATTTTCAGAAATGTCCCAATATCTGGTACCAAACTTACATCCAAGGTCAGGGGGGTCACTGGGGGGAGGGAAGCAGAGACTTTCCAGGATTTGCCAACAAACCTAATCAAGGAAAATCCTCTTTCCTCCTTTCCGAAATAACACACACACACGCACACACACACACGTACTCACACACACACATACATATATCATCCTTAAAAACAAGGCAAACTTTTGAAAAATCACTTCTTCATAATTTTTGAATGCATGACTTCTTAACTGGACTGTTTAAATATCCACAACATTTAGAGGTGGTTAAAAGACAAACCCCCATGTATTGCTTTCACATCCATTTTTTTTTTAACTTTCTTCCTCAACAGTCAAAACATCTATTACAAATAAGGACGCATTTAACTACTTTTGAAAATACAACTCTTGTATTTAATACAAAAAGACTTTAACAGAAATTTAGTGACTAGCCCTCCTTCAAACTGCATTCTACTTTCTTTTCTGTTTCTTTTTCATTCAAAATAACTGGAATGGTAACCATGTAAATCTTCAAATTATATTCCAAAGAAAACTGGGTTTCAGCCTCAGGCTTATCTGTTCAAGCACACAGTAACTTTTCAAAAACAGATTTTTATTTTTAGTCAAAAAAATAAGAGGCAAATCGAGCGACGTCGTTTGTTACTTACTTCCTGAAACCAAAGATTTAAAACCTGGCAGGCAGAGCAAGCTAAACACACAAAGGGTTTAAAGACCAAATGGGAGAAAAAAAAGTGGGCAATACTTACATGCTAGAAACAGCAGGTGCTCCCATACTAGGAGTGCTTGAAGGTGGGTCCTCTCTAAAAGTTCAAAGCCAGCAAAGTGACTTCAGCTACATTGACTTTATGGAGAAATTAGAACTTGTCACATGAGGTATCCACAATGAGGAAGTGAACTTTCATTTCAGTTTCATTTGAAATTTGACCCGATCAGCTGTCTCCTGCCCTCTCTCTCTGGTTTTAGAGACAAAGTGGGTACTCTGAGCATCAAGAAAAAGCCCCCAGTACAACCAACTCAGCAACATAAGAGCAGTACAAGTTTTCCCTTTAATCCCTCTTCATTCTGATAACTCATTTTACCTAAAAACATCAGCTTTCAGATGGAAAAATTTAGTTATGAAGAGATTAGGAAATCCCACTTCCTCCAAGATTTCCTAGGAAAACCCATCTTACTCCTTTTAACATAACTCATCCATGATTCACTATTGTCTAATTCTCACCCAGCTATTCCTTGATTTATCAATTCAAAATAGCTTTATTGATAGTAATATATGTTAGTATATCTGTGGAAGAAAAGATACACCTATGCACAGCTAACTGCCGAGTGGATACCTGGGTGGAAGTGGGGCCAGGATGAATGAGCATTTTTTACAACTTGCATTTTCCTAATTACTAATGAGGTTTGTTGAACATCTTTTCACACATTTATTGACCATTCGAGGTTGCCGTGAAATGGTTGTTCATATCTTTTGTTCATTTTTCTATTATATCGTTGCTTTTTAAAAGTGATTTGTAGGGTTTGTTTCTTGTTTTTTTGTTTTATGTTCTGGCTACTAATCTTTGACAGTTATGTACACTAAAAATGTCTTCCCTCTGTTTTTCCCTTGTCTTTTACACTGGCTTATACTGACTTTTTCTATACGAAATTTTAAAATGTTGATGTAGAAAGTTATTCGACTTTTACTTTATGGTCTATGTGTCTGTCTCATTTAAGAAAGTTTTGTGTCTTATTTAAGAAGATTTTCTTGATTCCAATATAATAAAAGTACATTCATTTAATTCTCATAGTTCTAGAGTGTATATATTTTTCCCTTTCAGAGTTGTTGCTTTGGGGTCTTTATTTCCTCTGGAATTTAGTTTTATGTATGATATGAGGCAGGGAGCTTACTTTATTTGTTTTCTCATTTTGATGGGAAACTTCTATTGTATCCCAAATTCCCACGTATCCATGAGTCAGTTTCTGAGCTCACTGAGCTGTTTTTTACCCACTGCTCCTTCAGTACCACATGGTTTAATTAAAACAGCTCTGTCCATGTCCCACTATCTAGCGGGACAAGTCACCCTGTCATTCCTGTGTTCGTTCCTCTTTTTCAAAGCTGCCTTAGCATTCTGTACATGTTAACGTTTCCATGTGAGTTTGTTAAATCAGCTAATCAAGTTTCCTGGAAAATTCCGTCAGTTTTTATTTGAACTGATATATTTATAATTATATTGACTTGCTATGTATATATAATTATACATATATACATATATGGGGAGACTCGACATCATTACAGGGTGAATCGTCTCATCTGTAGTGGACATTTTCCTGTTCCCAGATTATTTTGAAGTAAATCCTAGAAATCATATTATTTCATATGTAAATATTCTGGTGTATATCTCTAAAAGATAAAGACTCTTAAATATAACCACAATACCATGATCACATCTAACATAAAAACAATTTCTTAATTTCATCAAACATTATGTCAGTATTCACGTTTTCCTATCTTACACATTTTTAAAAATAGTTTGAATTGAGATCCAAATAAAGTCCATACATTACAAAACCATTGAGTGATTTTTGTATCGTTATAAATTTATGGATTTAACCATATATGTTTCAATCTGCTGCAGTTTTGTCTTTATTGATATTCATATTGTCCCATATTTGGTCAATGGGAACTTACTCACATTGGCTCCTGAGTCAATTTGGGGAAACAAGGGCTAGGTCTCACAAGGTAGATTGGAAAGGTGTTTTTCCAAGATTGTGACCAGAAGAAATTAAGAAGAAAGCTATTGTGGGACTCTCAATTACCTCGAGTTGTCTTTTTCTCTGTCCTTTTACACATCTGATATCATACCTAAATTTTCACTTGTAGCTTTGCTGCTGTACATGTATTTGTACCCCCAGACATAAATAGTTCAATTTCCTTAATGAGGAAATGTGCATAAAAACAAATTTCTTTCAACAAGATGAAAACTACACAACTATTTTGAGAAGGCTCCATGGGTTTTCTCAGTCATCGTTTCTCTGCCTTACAGGGTGCATAAACCTACACTCAGTACAGAGTATGAACATGGTAATTGGGCAACAGATAACATCTGCCTTCACCACTTCTGGCTGTTGCCTAAATGAGACTTAGAGAGGCTCGTTCAGGGTCCACGTGGAAGTAAGTGGTGGAATTGAAACTCGAAGTCCACGCTTTCCAACACCCCTTACTGCTCGGACTAGATGTTGCGTTTCATACTAGGCTGGAGCAGTAGTGGCCTGGAGCTGGCTCTTCCTGGTGCTGGCTCACAGGAACTACGTGTTTTTCCTAACTCCACCTTCAGTGGAATTACACTGGTAGCTTGAAATTGGCCATTATGGGAAAAATAAACAAGCTCTACAAATCAGGGTTTTTTTTCAGCCCCTTTTTCTGGAAAGCCAGCTAAACACTAGCATACAGCTGGGCTGGCCTGACTCAGAAGTCATTGACTATGCTTATTTTGAGTTCCTTTCTCTTTGAATCTTTCTTATTTTGTTCAAGACTTGCATTATAAGAAGTTGTGATACCGGCCTGAATTAGTATAGTTCCCAGTTTCAGATTTCAGAGTCATAAAGTTTGAAGAAAATATTAGAGGGCCGACTTAGGGTTGCTATCTTTTTAGTTTGTCAAATTTGGACATTTAAAATTAGTATATACATTCATTATCGTTTCAAAATTGAAGGAGTATTTCAATACCAAGAAAAGGGTAGGAAGGAAATAATCTCCGAATTTAGAAGTTGAATTTATGTAGTTTTATGAAAAACCCACTCTAATGTCTATATTTTAATCATTTAACTGAAGACTAATGAAAATATTGTCAAGGACAAAGATCCCACAGGACAGGGATTTTTTTTTTCCCCCAAAAAATGTATCTCAAGCACCTAGAATAATATCTGGCACGCAGTAAGTACTCAGCTAACATTTAATGAAAAGAATCAAGGACTTGCACTAATCTGAAGACCAAAGTTTGCCACCACTGGTGCAAGCTACCCAAGTTGGTATCTTGGATGGAAGTCAGCTAACATATTTGAAGCATTTAAGGAGATATGAAAGGGGAGGGGGAAAGCACGATTCCTATCTTAGGTTGCTAAAATCTGTTTGGGAGGTATAGAAGATACATGCCTAAAGATGACTTAATATCAAATTGGATGCTCCAGACTTTTAAGACAACTAGGTAGTTCTTGTTTAAGGTATTAGAAATGACTTTGCTAGAAATTGGAGAACCTTTCCATGCTTCACTACTTTCCCCTAAGAATCAAGAGTACCCATGAGACTGAAAGCTTGCAAAGATATGATGAAAGGGGTAGGATTCGGAAACTTCCATTTACTGTAATTCTATTGTCAGGGACATTTGGGAACATCACCTGCAGCTGCATCTATGAGGTGGTGGTAGCAGCAGTAACCCTTTTCTGTAGATGAGGAAACGGCACCAAGGGAGGCAGGGCCAGGATCATTATGGAGTAAGCGGTGGAAGTCGGGGCACTGTGCAACAAACGCTAGAAACAGGAAACATGAGCTCAGAGCTACAGTAAGTGATCAACTCTCCTTAAAGCCATTTCTCCTTTTCACATCCTGCCGGATTTGGTAAATCAACAGGATATGATTTGCCAGTGATTTGAGGGGGGAGGGAGGAGGGTGCTAGGTGCTCATAATCATGAGTAATAAGATAAGGCAGAGGATGTGAAAACACCTAAGGTGGTGTTAAGACTGAAGATAAATGACATTTGCTTCCTTTTATTTATAAAGTTCAAGTGCAAGCCCAGTAATAGCCTTCTTCAGTAAAGGGTGTTTTTGAGTCTATAGACAGGCAGATTCCAGCCTGCAGAAGACTGTGTTCTAAGTCACTGCCTTGTTTGGTCCCTGAGGGCCTCAAGTAGATATTTATTATATTTTTCTAGTCTTTCTCTTTGTCTTCAGTGGCAGGGCAGGCCTGGAAGAGCAGATCCCCGATGCGCTCCTGTTTTCACTCCCCACTACCTCTAGAGCAGCGCTTTCTACCAGAAATACCATGCAAGCCACGCTGCCATGTTTCATTCTCTAGCGGCCATGTTTTAAAAGTAAAAAAAACCCAAACAATAGAACAGATAAAATTTAAGATTATGTTCATTTAATTCAATATATTCAAAATACTGTCATTTTAATATGTAATAAAGAAATTATCATGATTCTTTTTTGTGTGTGTACTGTCTTCAAAATGCAGTTGAATATTTCACACTTAGAGCACACCACAGCTGGGACCAGCCACACTTCAAGTACTCAACAGCCACTTGGGATAGAGGCGACCATATTGGATCACACAGGTCTAAACCCTAGTCACTTCTCTTAAAACAGAGATGTGATCAAAATATTTCCCTTCTCAAAAATCTTCAGTGACTCCGAGAAAATCTTCAATGACTCCATATTACACACTAGTTTAAGAACAAGTCCTTACCCTAGTATTACAGATACAGGAAAAAAAAAAAAAGCATTTCTTGGGACTTCCACTTTTCAGTCTGGCATGTAAGAGGTTAGGAAGTTGCTACTTTACCCTAACAACAAGTAAAAGCTGAATAAATTGAAAAATCAACAATTATTAGAGCCACTGTCTGGAATTTCCCTCCCTCATCTCTGCCTCTTTAAATCCTGTACATCCGTCATGGCCCATCTGAGATGACTCCTCTTTCAAAAAATCTTTCTTCATCCCCAACCTGTTGTCTTTTTTTTTTTTTCCCCAGCCTCTGCATAGTTTTGAGGCTCTCTTATGGCAGACTCATAGATTCTGAGAACAGAAAAATCATCCTCTTTATTTCCTGTGAGTCTACCTGTAAGTGCTCTAAGTACAGGAGTTATGTATATCTTACTCATTTGTGTATCCTCCACAGTATATAATGCACTGACATAGTAGGCTCTCAATAAACATTTGCCGACATGATTTAAATGATTTCAACAGCCTGGAGGTTTGAAGTTGGCTGGCCATGAAACTCACTCCACTGCCAGGGTGCAAGTCTCCCAGATTCCTGCCTAGTAGCATCTACTGGATGCCGTGGACCGATGGTAACGTGTCCTATTTTCCATTCATTCTCTCCTTTCCAGAATTAAGCTTTTTACTATAGTTATACTGTTTCTTCTTCATTGTTTTAAAAGATATATTAGACAAAGATAACTTCCGTTTTAGGTTGTCACGCCTCCAGAGGCCACAT